TTTCTTAAAGACTTGGCATGCAAGCTATAGTCAACAAAAAGTATATAGATTCTGGAAAAATATTTCCTATCCTGCTTTCTCTGCTCCACAATTCATCACATAGGCTGGGTTCCTGCCTTTCTTTGTATGCAGGATTATTCTCTCTATTAAAAGGGAGTCTTGTGTAACAAACAGAAAATAGCACTGTTCTTTGATTAGTCACAAATCCAAATATCACAAAATTAACGATCGATAGCATTCTAATCAATGTCCTGGATTCTTTTAAGTTGTGACCTTATAAGTCTAGAGTAAGAGTATAAAATTAGTGAATATTAAACCAGTCAGCCATTATATAGACCCTGATATTTTATGAAATATTTTAAACAAAAATTTCAGACATAATAAAACTACTACGGCCACAGTAAGTGGATCAACTATGTTCAAACTCACTGTTAGTGAGAATCCAGGCTGTATTTTTTTCTGGCACAGTGGATCAAATAGAAGCTACACAAATTGTGTCTATCATGTAGCCAAGTATGGAGAAAGACTGTCCTTATATCTCATGTTTGCCATCTGTAACTCAGTCCCAATTTGCTTCATATACATAGCAAGGACACAAATGATTATGTCAAGTTTTCAAAGCCAAATATTAGATAATATTTAATTTGGCAAAAAACATAATGGCATATTTTCTAGTGATGCTACAAGAAAGACAGCCATTTAAGAGAGTCATATATAAATTTCAGCTATTGGAGGATTCTGCCTCTTTTCTTCAATCAAGAACCTAATTTTGATAAAAAATTAATTGAGAAAATATCGTGGACAAACATGAATCTGAGAAAACGAATAGGCTGATGGATGTTTATTCAGGGAGAAATCATTTACACCAGAGACAGATGACCATCAGCAGGTTCCCATTCCAAGGATGACTCCGGATGCTCTCTATCTCAGACCGGCAGTAAGCAAGAGCACTGGGGTCCAGGACCCCAGACCTAGCCCCCCCTCCAGGTCACGCCCACACCTGTTCCCAACCCCCAATGGGCATGGTCAGTGCAACAGGTGCAGGTGGGGTGGATATCTCACTACAGAGCAAATGTATACAAAATATAATAAAAATAAAGTATTTGAATAGTCATTTAGCAAATGAAAATTTTCAAGTTCAGGGGCAACTCTCTTTGTTTAATCAGTACAGCACTTTGATGTCTTTCTGAGCATGTGGTTTGATTTTAGACTTCACACAAATGTTTGGATTTCACAGGTCTTGATTTCCATCAGGAAAGCAAGAAAGTGTTATTTGGGTAGATTAAGGTGCTACTCGGACCTCTAACAACTATTTGTCTAGTGAAAGCTGAATTTAAACTGGAAGGCATACCCAAAAAACTCATAATCAACTGTAACTAGATATACTTTTTGCAAATATGATGTTTATTATTATTTAATATTTTTCTTATTTTACATATTCATCTCAGTTCCTTCTCCATTCCATCATCCCATGTCCACCCCCCATCCCCCATCCACTCTTGAGAGAGAGTGGGGCCATTCATGATAAATCATCAAAATCTGTCAAGTCATTTGGGGTAGGGTCTAGGCCCTCCCCGGTGTCTTTAGGCTAAGGGAGTTTCCCTCCATGGTGAATGGGCCCCCAAAGTTCGTTCATGCACTAGGGATACATCCTGGGCAGATAAGATATTTTAATTAAACAAAGAGCAATTATTTGAGTGGGACTCAGTGATAACAAGCCAATATTCTGGCTGCTTAGGAGGTTGAAACAGAAAGATTGTAAATAAAATAATGAAGTAAAAAAAAAAAGTAGGGCAAAGGGATACAGCTCATTAGTACAGGGGGGATGGAAGGGAATTTACCTAGTCAAAAGAAGGTCTTATATTCAACAATCCCATGGTGCAGAGAGAAATGGGGGGCACTTACACTGTACCACACCCCTAACATTCCAGTGTTTGTGACATAGAGGAATGAGATAAGGCTAGTCTTGGCCTGATCCATAGGGAGTATAGATGAACCTGAGATATATGGGACTCTGTATTAAAACAGCTAAATGAAGTAAGTAATAAAAGTGGGGAACTTTGCACTGTGAATGCAATTTCTTGACTGGCCTTGAGCTCAGTATATAGAACAAGGTAGCCTAGAACTCACAGAGATCCTCCTGCCTCTACCTCCTGAATGCTAGGATTGAAGATTGTATACTACCATGTCCAGCTAATGTAACTCTCAAATGACAAGTGTTTATCTGTTTTTCTTTAAAGAAGAAATGGATTATTTATCTCAAACTGAATTATGAGTAGACTGTAATTCATGGTAAAGTAAATTCAGCTAAATAGAGCAGGTTTGGTGTCTAGAAATTGGAAGAGTACAGACACCATCCGTACCCTTTTCTACTGTGTTCTCTTTGCTCTGATATCTACAACATCTCTGGTAGAAGGCATCCTTTGTATTCTTAGGTTTATTCAGCTCTTTGGGATTGCCATGAATATTTCCCCTTAAAGATTTAGGATTAGAGATTTCTTGGCATGAATAATTGTCCTCATCTTTTCTGGCCTATTATCCAGTGAAAATGTGTGTGACCCTTAGGCCAGATGCTTTTCCATCCAGACTGTTTTTGTAACTTGAGAATTTATCTTGTAAGCATGCCTAGAGAAATTGCTAATAGGACCTTCACATAACTATTTCAGTATTTTATCTTTGCCTTTTGTTTATGTAAACTGTTCTGGTTTTTAGATGGAAAATCTAATATTAAATTTCATAAATAATAAATCTTGTAAACAATGCTAACTTGAATACTAATCAAAATGTACTTTATTAGAGAAAATTACACAAAATAACCATATTTATGGTAAAAATATTTAATAGCACTAATTTTGCATTTTGACTTAGCAGTTTCTACTACAAGATCCAGAATAAGGCTAAATGCTCAGCTTGAAGAGAAAAGACAAGTCCTGAAGGTCTGGCCCAGTCCTTCATCAGCTGTGTGATGTGGCCAATGTACCTATGTTTTATTGGGCCTCAGTATCTTCAACTGAAAATTTGGACATTGGTAGTTTGCTTATTGGACTTCCAAGCTTTGTTTAATTTAGTACTGTGAATATTAGCAGTTTTATGGAATAGAGTATCAGTCCCTTCTGAACAAGGAAATCAGCTTAGGCAAGCTTGTATCCCAGATCACACAGCCAGTGAAATGCAAATTCAGGACAAGGGTTCAGTGATCTTTTTCCTTTGCTGGTTCTTAGAAGGCTGTTTAAAATTAGTATGCCTGTGCCAAAATCTACAGCATTAAATCAAAGTTGCCATTGGAATGAAGTTTGATTTACCAAAAATTTCTGTAATAATTAATCTTTAGCAAGCAAGTATAGCACACTATATTGGTCAACAGGGCTAAGCTAACAACCTCCAGTAGTCTACAGTATAATATACATACTTCTATGTGGGCATATATGCTCCCTGGGATTGTCCCAAGTGTCCCTGCTTTACAGATAAGAACACAGAAAAGGAATCTGTGATGAGCTTCAATGTGTGACATTGTTTCTATAAACAAAGAAAGTAAAAACCCTGAAGTTTTGCCCTCTGAAATATTATATACTGAACAGAAGTCATTTCCTAAGAGATGTGTGCTGTCCCAGGCAGAACTGATAACATAAATTGCAGATCTAGTACAAAGGGAAATATCGGGGTCCTTGTTATAAAATGAATAAAACTTTAGAACATGTGACCACACCATGTTGAATCAAGAGTGCAAAGCGTATGTGCTGGATCTGTGAGGCAGCCCAGCAACAAGACAATTAGTCCTGGCAAGGCTAGACAGACTGTCTAGGCGCTTGAGCTGTGCCCGGTAATCTTGAGTAAGGGTAAGACGGCCTGGTAAGTACAGCAGTTCCCAGTCTGTTTATTATGTCTGCCTGGTTGTCAGCTGAGGGATCCTGAGGCAATGGGACACGTGACAGCACAGCAAAGCTATCAGGTTACAGTCTCCTGGAGGATTAAAAAAGAAGTCCAGACCACTTTTTTTTTTTTTTTTTTTTTTTTTTTTTCTCTTTTGCTATCAGGAAGTAGGGCAAAGAAACAGGAAGCACTGAGAAACTGCAGGCACCCACAAAGAAGGAATCACCTTGTCCCCCGTCATAGCGGTGGTTAAAACATAGGAAATACTCTCTTGCAAGTTTTAGCTTGGAGGAGTCCAAAGAAGAGTTGTCTAAAATGAACCAGACTGACTGGCTACTCCAAGGCATTCTCCTTCTGAAAATTGTACCCGAAAGAAATGAAAGAACTCTCTAGCCTTTTCCCTGCATAAGTAGAAAACGCCTGTGATGATTTCTCAGACCTTAGTGACGTCCTCAGTGTAATCTCTATGATTTGGGTCAAGCAATCCAGGTGTTTACTTGAATATAAAACTGATGGAGCTCTGAGGAAAGGCCAGGTGTGTTTCCTCTCTGAAATGGTCAGTCAGTTCTTCTGGGTGTTATTCAAGGAACTGACTGGAATGTATCCACTGCCATCTCTTGAGATTATCGTCTTAGATAGTGTCTCTCTCCTTAATCCCCAGACATAGGATGTACTTTTTTTATATATCTCCTGAACTTATTCAGAGAAAATAAAACAGATATGATCTAAAGTTCTAAAAACCTTTCAAGAGCACACTGACAGAGTGTATGCTCAGACCAGCAAGAATTCACTTTACATTTCCCTCAGGATTTCACCAAAAACGTGAAAAACAAGGAAAAAGGTGAATTCGATTATATAGTAAACATAAAGTGTTTGCCAGCCATTATTATTTAAAGGTGTGCATACACACATGCTTCTTTGTTGTTTGAGGAGTGTATACAATAATTTCAGTTAGAGTGATCTCAAAATATCTTTGTTAAAAGTGTTTCCTGCAAAATGAGTCATCTGTTATGTGTTTTCGCTCTTCAAGAGTTCCTCTGCACGACTTGGAGATTCAACTGAATAAATTACCCATGCCTTTTGAATTATTAATCTTGGCTGCATGATATGCAAATCAGACTGCATTGGCCATGTCCAGCAGCCACACAGCAGTGGGTCAGAAGCTGTCTCCAGCTCCTGGCAGAGTTTCTGTTAAGAGAGAGGCCTCAGTCAGCGGAATGGTAAGGGACACTACAGCCCAGGCCTCCTGGACACATTAAGGAAGGCCAGGCTTTCTGGTGAAGGTTTCTTTTGAAAGTGGCCTGTGAGCTAACCGGTGCTCAGGGAAATGTTCTTAAGTAGATGTGATGTTGCAAAGGGACAAGGCTGTCACTTCTTACTTTGACATCTACTTCCTATGGCTCTAAATGTACTTTTTTTTATGGCTAAATACTGAATTTATCTTACTTTAAAAGGCCTACTGTAATTATAGTGATTTGAATAAATGAAAATATTTACAGAAAAAGGGAAACTATCTGCATCATGGAAAATAACTTAGCATGTAAATTTTAAAGAAAAATTTAACACAATGAATTTTAAGTCATTACAAATTTTAAATGTCTTTACTTATAGCAAAATGAGTATATTTAAGGATCAAGGTTTACTAAGGAAAATGGTGAATTGCAGAAGCAATTGCTATTCTACTCACCAGAACTTTCCAAACTGTATAAGCTATTCTCTAACAATTTAGTGGAAAATGTAACTTAACACATACTATAAGTTTTAATGTTTTGGTGTCATTTGTGAAATATAGTAAAATGAAGTAATTAATGAGCATCAAATGCTTATATTTTTATACATACAAATACTGTTTCATTTGAATTGTTTAAAATAAAAGTAACTTGTTGAAATATCTTTGTTACTGTGAAACTTTGCAGTGACAGTTAAAATTATTAACTTCTGTTAGGCTCTCATAATGGTCAAGGGTATAGAAAGACATTTTTATTAGAATAAAGGGGATTTTTATTAGTGTCAACTTTCTAAACTTTTGGTAAAGAACAAACCTTATTTTTTCAATTAAGAGAACTGTTTTTATAATGAGTTTTCCATTGTTTCAAATTAAAAATGAGTAGTAGCAATTTTGTCATGTAAATGCATTCAGTTTCTTAAATCTAATAGACGTGGTGTTTGTGGGCTTGGAACTAATTATTTCACTTTAGTTATTAAAGTTTTTTTATTTTATTTTTTTTTTAAGAAAATGCACTGTCAATTGTTTACTCACATAAACAATAGCATGTTAGTCAGCATATCCATTGCCTATAAACAAGAAAGCTCCTGGAAAGTGGGAGAGAGGCTAGTAATGTGCTATGGGAAATGCCCCCTTGTATGGGGAGTTTTGCTTAAATGAATACACTTTACTTCCCTGATTTGTATAATTATTTCATAACAAGAGCACATTCTGATACACATCACTAAATTTGAGATACAATATTCTCAAAATAGTGTGTCTTTGTGAAGTTGAATCAACCTGCAAGTATTGGATAGCCTATCTCCAGAAAACCATAACCTGTTAGTATTATGAATGTGATAATAGCTATAAGAATGAAAAATTGAAATAATTATATTAAAGTAATAGATTATGAGATATTATGAAAAAGCCAAATTACATTTTAACAAACTTTCAGTAATATTGAATATAAAACTATTAGGACTGATTGGTTTAATTTTTGTTCCTTGATTTTTGCCTATTTGATTCCAGACTGTACTACACAATTAATATGTACTTTATCCACATACTTTTTGTTTTTGTTGGTTTAATTATTTCTTGTACTTTAGATTATATTAATTACATTATTTTCCCTTCCCTTTCCACCCTCTGAACCCTCCTATATGCTCTCTTTCAAATTCATGGCCTCCTTTCCCATTAATGCTTGTTATATGCATATATGAACATATATATACCTGAATACAACCTGTTCAGTCTGTATAACATTATTTACAAAACAACTTCTAAAATACAGGCTCCGGGGACATTGTGGAAGAGGGGGCAGGTAGAGTGTGAGATTGTAAAATGAGGAAGTTTCTGGTAAGACTGTATCTCCTAGTAATGGCAGAAGCTGCACCCACAATATCTCACCAAGTGACTGGCATAGCTAAGCTGAACAAGGACAACAATAAACATGCTGGAATGGATGCAGAAAGCCCAGGAGGTCTCAGCCCTAACAAAGAACTACAGTCAACTAAGGAATGCCTAGAGTAGGATAAAAAGACTCTTCCCCAGAGAAGAATACGCCAATTATTTATCCAAAACCACAAAGTCAACCTGAAAATAGACACTTGTAAAGTTTTTGTGGTGGTGGGGGTGGGTGTTTGTTCTTAAATCAAGATTTATTCTATGAGAAGCAATACAATGGTACGGATTAATAAGTAAAAGTAATCAATCATTTTAGCCATTTATTCTCTGTAACTGGCCCTGGTATTCTGTTTTTACTAAACCTCTAATCTTTACTGGAAAACAGAATTTTTCATCACTTCCACTGGGTCCAAGACCCAGTCATCGAGTTGCATATGACTTTGTGGATACATTTTCCATTCCATTTTGTGACCCATACAAATTGCATAAACCCAAAGCATTTCCTCAGCTTAAATGGGATCCAGTATAATCAGAAAGAGGAAGAGGATATTCAAAATGAAGCAAATGAGTTTCTTATCTCCAGAAAACTTTTTATTGTCTTAATTTTCATTTAACGTGTGTAGCAGCGCTTCAGTGTTTCCTACATGACATAAATATCATAAAATGAGTCTTGAAGGGCTCTGATGTTAAAGCTTAGACAAACAAGGATTAGCTACAAAAGAGATAGCAAATGGAGAAAATGGGATATGAGGTTGCAATGTTCTAGAAAGCAAGGAGGAGAAAGCTCCCAGTCATTGCATTGAAAGCTGCAGCAGATTTGATTATACAGTAAGACATGTTCATTATGTAATGACCCACACATGATAGCATTTTAAAAGTTCATGTCCTTCATTTTTTACTTTATCTTTTTAACTTTTGAAAAATTCACACATAAGTATTTTATTTACATCATTTCCTCCTCTGTCTCACCCCCATACAACTTCTCCCTTGTTCTTTCATTCCTCAAATCCTTCTGTAAGTTTTAGTTACAGACAGGCATACATATTTAGTAGATACATAGAAAATGTATATGTATATTCATCTACAGATTTTTGTACATACACATGCATAGAGGTGATCACTTGGGATTCAATAACATTGGGGGGGGTTCATCCCTAGAGAAATTTAATGTTCCCCTCTCTCAACAGCTGTAGATTGCCACTAACTCCACTAAGGGTGGTATCCTCTTCAATCTCTCCCATTCACATTGGTATGTCAGCAGGTGTTATCATTATATAAGTCTTGTTTTGGCAGCCATCTTGTTGAGATTTTTCTGGGTGCAACTTCCTTGACATGTCTAGAAGACACTATTTCAGAGTAGGCACCTGTTCCTCTGCCTTTCAACTCATTCGGCCCCCATTCCCCAGTGTTCCTTGAACCTTAGCTTTAGAGGATATAGATGTACTAACTGAGGATGGACAACCCCGCAGTTACTTCCTCTCTACGCTTGCCTGTTGTGGATGTTTGCCGAAGTCTCCATCTGGGGAAGAGAGCCTTCTTTAATGATGGGTGAGAGCTCTACTTATCTGAAGGGACTAATGTACAGGGTCTGTTTTTTATAATTTTTGGCAATTTAAAAGTTTTATTTTATTAATTACATGCATCCTTTGGCTGTCTAGACAATCATAGACAGATAGTGTGTAAAGGTAAACGAAAGGAGAAATGACACAATAAAAGCCTTACTGCTAAGGCTGGAACCATTTGTATTTTGGTATATATCTTTTTAGACTTTCATGTGTTCAGCAATTTCAGATTAAATATCTAATCAAATGTCTCAAATCCTTAGACCAATTTTAGAAGTTACACATTAAAGTTTGCTTTGTACAAATCTGTTTAGAAATCAGAGGTCTCAGTACCATAGTGACTGATTTCTCTCCCCCAACCCCCCCCCCTGTGTGTGTCCTATTATGCACAGGGTTAGTTTTTATGGTGAAATAGATTACTAGCTCTTATTTTGTGGATTTACTATTTCTCTAGCCTTGGAGGAAGTATTTCTGAAACTGCTTTATAAACAGTCAGGTTTCCGGCCCTCTCTATTCAGCATGCAATTCCAGACCGCATACTAACTGCTAGCCACTGTGCAGATGTAGAAGATAAACAACGAGCAAAACAAGTTTATAAAAATTGGTAAGGCAAAATTTGATGCATACGGAAAGCATGCACTGGGGGCACCTAGTTTATTTAGATTTTGTGGACAGGCAGCCAATTAGGGAAACCAACTTTGAACCGGGGTCTGAAAGAAATACAGATAGTAGACACAATAGGTTGGCACAAGAGGAAGAGCAGCAGGGAAGAGATGCAGATGGGCTAGCACAGTGGGACTGCTCTATGCAGTTAGAGGACAGGAGGAGAGATGAACAAGAACAGAGCATGAGGGCTGAAGTGGAATGCAAGGGTGGGCTGGGGGCATTGGGAATACAGACTTTAGTCCATGGAAGGATTTTAACATAGGATAGCAACATGATTTAATTTTTAGCTATAGATTTGTTCAAGAAAAGTTGAAATGAACAAGAGCCAGAAAAAGTATGAGGACACAGCAGGAGAATATGATACATATAACTATTCCCTTCACAGACTGATGTAAGTATATATAGTGAAGAACTGACAGATTTGAGAAATACATAGAAATTAAAGTCAACAAAGCTTGGTAGTTTTTTCTTGATGGAGGTTAAATTGCAGCTGACTCTAAAAATTTCTGTGGTAGGCATTTGGATAAATGGAAAAATTATTATACTGACAAAGGTGATTCAAGAATAGCTAACAAGTTAGGGTGTTTAAAGTCAGAGGTGTCTGTAAGAAATCAATCCACAGCAATACAATAAACCATTTGTATTCAGCAGAGAGATCTGACATAGGTTATAAATGTGGGAATTGTTTGTACATAAATAGTCATTAAAGTTTAAACATGGATAATATAACCCAAGATGAATACAAAGAAGGGAGATGAGAACTGAGATAGGATGTCAAAATCTCTAGAGCCACAAAAGATGGAAGTCAGGGAGAGAAAAAGAAAGCTAGGATTCTGCCTTGACATAAAAGGAAATGGGTGTTTTCATAACAATCTTACTG